CCTAGATGCAGCCTGCAGAACTCATGACAATGCACTAAGCATTCAACAGCCTGGGCTAGACATCCTGTCTGCCTTATACATTTCTAGACAACAAATCTCTAAATATCCACCTAACTAAGAAAATACCTAACAGTCGCCACAGCGAATCGTTACACTGACGACTAGCATGTTGACATTTGGCACGTTTTACGCCGGATGCCCTTCCTGACACAACCCTGATTCGAACCCAAGCCGCAGCGCCTTCACCACTAGCATACGAGGGGCGGCTACATACTGTACACCAAATGAATACCCAAAGTACTTCACAAACTGGTCGTATAATTTGAAAAGTAAAGCTGTCAAATAAATGTAGGTCTAGTGCAATAGGCTAAAAAGTGCACTATTTTCCTCAGAAATGTACAAATATAAAGTTGCTAAAATGGAAGTACTCAAAACACACATACTGCAGGCTCAATCAAATTTGCAGACTTCGAAAGTACAATTCTTGTGTACATTGCTAATATGAACCCCGTCTATTCATTTAACTGCAGTTTGATTGTTCGGTATTCTATAGTGCGACTGCGAAACGTATCGGTTTATCTGCGCGCGACTGGTGATGCCTCTTGTTTTAGGGTAGACCGGTACAGTACAGGAACTGTACTGCTCGACTCAGTTTTGGGAATCGGTAAAGTCGATCCTAAGAAAGTAAAGTCGCTACATCTATTTTCTTAAACTCATTCAGCTGACTTTTAGGACAACTGAGGTTATTAGCAAGATTTTAATTATTTTACTTGATTGCAAAGGTTCCAAACATTGAAAACGGTTTTAGCTAACATTAATTAGACTGCTGTTATTGCTGTGTTCTGATCAAATAGTCAAATACGGCACTTATTCTTATTAGGCTTAAACACTGGACCATTCCAAAGCTGCAGTCAAAACAGACTGTTTCACGAGCCTTTACAGTCTGTGCAGGAAACACCCATCCAGTTAGAGCCGATTTTAACGATATCCTTCATTATGACCGGGAATCTTAAAGTGTTGATCTGTGTTATGTGTTACTTCAGAGCAGGGCGGGATCAAACAATCCAGTCAGAAAGCTAACCAATCGCCGGTGATTTGTTCTGCGCGGATCTGACTCGTCTCGGACGGGGCTAAATGTTTGCTTTTCTTCAGTAACGCCCACCTTAGCCAGTTGAGTCCATGGATGAATCCAAAACGAACAAATCGTCCACGAGTCGCGCATTAAACACACCGGCTGCCGTCAGCGCTGCTGGAGATCGACACTCTTGGTGAGCTAAAATGTCTCGACAGAGCCAAATATATGTTTTGGAAATGCCCAGCAAATGACCACACATTGTTGTTGTTTATGTGTTTGAATCCATCTTAATGTTACTGTTAGCTAGCTAGGTGCTAGCAAATGACGTGACATGACGGACCGAGCCGCCCTTTGGCCTGGTTCTGCTGCTAACCCAGTGACTGTCTGTCATCTAGCGAGGTGGTTAATTTCTCTGTGGTTTTATGTCCAGAGGGTTTGTTGTGTTCGGACATGTCTGCGTAATGTCCCCGGCTAGCCAGCTACAGCTAACCGTCTGTCTGTGTTGGTAACGACTGCACCAGCAGCCACAGTGTGTGGCCTGCTCCGGGCTGGTGCCTGCCACACACACGGTGGTAGCAGCTACTGTATGTTCTTCTGCTGGGTTGGGTTGACCTTAATAATGAAGCCTCTGGTAACATTTACAGGTTTCTCTCAGGTTAGCTACATGCAGAGGTGTAGAATATAACAGTCTGTTGTGTCCAAGCTGGCAACTAAATGTTGGCATTACTCATTCAAGCAGCAGCGTTGATGCAGGTGACGATGTAAAATGATCATTTTGTTGCTCAGTGCTTAGTGACGACGTCGTTTCAAACGGATAACATGTTAATTAGCTCCGTCTTTGGCTGAAGGAAGCCTGTTTTCAGACCACATCTGGAAGGAGAAATTGCATTGTGCAGTTTGGTTTATAGGTGGGCAATACTACAACCTGTGCCAGGTAATGTCAGGTAATACCAGTATCACCAGTATCAGTGCTGATATCGGCAGTGGTACACGGTTTTTTATTTTTATGATACTGTAAAAGTACTCTGTTACAAGTAAAAGTCCTGCTTTCAAAATGTTACTAAAGTAGAAAAGTATTAGCATCAAAACATACTCAAAAGTAGCAGAATGTTGCATTTCACATTAATATAGGCTATATTTATTATTGGATTATAATTAGTGAAGCTGACAAAAGTAAAGTTATAAAATACATGTAGTGTGGTAAAAGTGAAATGTAGTGAAGTCCAAACATGTAGTAGTGGAAAATTAGATTGCTCAAGTACAGCATGTGACTAAATATGCTTAGTTTACTTTCTACCACTTGATGTTGGTGCTGTACTTTTTCTTGTTAGCAGATAATTTACCATCATGTGAGGGAATATGGCATGATTTGTGGGATGAGTGCATGGTTAAAGACTTTTTCTAATGACCACCAAAATGATTATCCATTCATGAGGAATTTCTATTTATGGTTCTATATTATTTGCACATTTAGCGAAGAGGAATTTGCTAATCGTGAGTAACAGATGTTCATTATATCACAGTGCGATAGAGGAAACCAGAAAATCATCAGAACTAAGAATCTGAAACTGATGGAAATTTTTTTTTTTTTTTTTGGTGTTTTTGCCAAAAAAAAAATTGTTGCAGAATATTGTTGATCAGCTGATCAGTTAATATAAACTCATGGTGTCAGTGTTGGTGTCTGTTGATCATGAGAACATTCATTACATCAAAGCAGTTAATTTATGGTTTTATAAAATGTCAGAAAACAGTAAAACTACAGTATCAACTTCCTTGTTTTGTGCGAGCACTAATCCAAGCCTCACTATGGTGTTCAGATATTATAGAAATCAGGATTTTTTCTGTTTTACAGTGGATGCTCTTTTAATGTTCTGTTCACTTGTCTGCCCCAGTGATGCCACCTGACCAGCCAGTCACCTGTGTCTCATTAGACCCTGGTGTTGGGCCTCACCGTGCGCTTGACTGTCTGTGTTTATCTGTCCTTCTGGCCACCCACACTTGTGCTCACATCAGTTGCCAACCAAGACTTTAGACTACACAGTTGCTGCCCTTGACAGCTTGTTTTCTGTCTACCTCCTGACCATAAACACCCTCCAGAATCTTTTTGGCTGGATCTGCTCAGCTCCATGACCCTGTTATGCAAATGTGATAATTCGGTTCATCAATCGGCCCATGAGGATTTGTTGAAGTTACACTTCAGCTTTTCTATGAAAGGACTATAACTAACTACGTATGGTGTTATGAGACCACGTTAGTTCCACAAAGGATGATAGAGGTTTACTACTTGTACCACTGACTGCTAAAGCTGTAAACTAAAGAGGAAACATCTCAGGTAAAAACCCTAAACGTTTTTATGTTGTTCATCGCTGTTGTAGACAGTCACAACCATAACAGACGTCACTCTGTCTACTTGTCTTGAGAATGAATCCGGATGCACTGCATAGTCGAGGTGAAGCAGCAGCAGCAGCTGTCTATGTTATTGTTGTGCGGCCCACCAAAGCTCCTGTGAGAAGCCAGGAGACTCTGGGTCACCAGAGGCAGCCAGTGGCATGTACTCACTTCTAAAGATGCAAGATGTTCTGATGATTAGGACCACACACAGGTGTCTAGACTTAGCTAGCTGCTTTGGACCATACCTCAAAGGAGAGGCTTGGATTTCATGAGAAACGTTTCCTTCTTGTACACTGTAAATATTTTGCCTCCTATAGCCGCGTTCTCATGCTGCATACCAAGTGTGCTTCCCCTGCTCAGAGCCCCTTTTCTCTAGCCTTGCTGTTTGATCTCTCATGCAGGCCTGACTGTTTGGAGACGTTCAAAGAAGAATGGGTGACTATAGCTTCTCTTCACCAACTGGACCAGTCTAGGCCCACTTTTAAGAGCTTGGTTTGTGTTATTTTCACAGGAGATTGACGATGACCTGTTTAGCTGTGTTAACTGTATCTGGTTCACAGGCCTGAGTCCATCACACCTGTTGGTTCAGCAAACCACTGAATGGTGCAGGTGCTGTGCATAGAGGTGTGCAACAGTGCATAGAGCAGACCTGGACATTTTACGGCCATGCAGCTTTCAAGACAAGTTATGTCATATCCCACAAAATCGCCAGAAAAAATAAGCCGTTTTCTCACGGAGAGTTTATTAAAGAGTGTTTGTTGGACTCTGCAGCACTAATATGCCTGGAGAAAAAGGGCGCATATGAGAACGTCCCCTCTCCCGATGCACTGTAACGAGGAGGGTTGAGGACATGCAGGAAATCGTTGGATCTACCTACATATGTGAACAGACATTCTCAGTGATGAAGTTCAACAAATCCAGATTTCAATGCACTTGTTCAAGCCCAAGCCAGACTGGAATTCTCTCACTGAACAAGTAAAATTAACTGAAAATGCATATCTTCACAATACTGCAAAACACCTTTTCAGTGTTATGTGAAGTTGAAAATAAAATGGAACTGTGATGTAATGTTTTTTTTTTGTCTTTACTGTTTATTACTTCTATAGGGGTAATTTCCTGTTTGACCTACACCACAATTTCATATATTTATATAAATATTTATAGAATATGCTTATTCTTCTGATTACCAGTAGCAGCTAATCAACACATATAATTTACTGCTTTTTACAATGGATGATGAATGAATTTTGAGCAGAATCAGATGTAGAAGATCAAGAACAACTTAGTATAGGCCTGCTGACTTGGAGACTGGGGAGCTCCACAATGTTCATAAGGAAATAAATAAGACATGAAATAACTTATTTGAATAAACAGACTTTTTTTATGGGGGAGGCTGTGGCCCAGGAGGTAGAGTGGGTCTTTTCCTAACAAGAGGATTAGCGGTTCAATTCCCGGCTTGTCCAGTCAACATGTCGAAGTGTTCTTGAGCAAGACACTGAACCCCCAGTTGCTCCCGGTGATGTCACTGGTGTGTGAATGCGTGAATGCTTGAGAGTGCGAATGGGTGAATAGGCAAATAATGTGAAAGCGCTTTGAGTGTGCTGTAAAAGCGTAGAAAGGTGCTATACAAGTATAAGACCATTTACCATTTACCAATTAAGTTCAAGTTATCGTTGGTTCGGCCCTCCAACACAGTTCAGGTTTCTCATGTGGCCCCTTGTAAAAATTAATTGCCCACCCCTGGCATAGAGACATAGGGTGGAAACTTTGTTTGTTTAATAGTGCTGATAATGTCGTTGCTTCTCTAGCCCCAGCTTGTGCTACCTCTCCTGATAACCCCAAAAATCCATATATGGTGACCGCCTCTATTTCCTGAATCCTCATAAACTCTTCCAACTGCCCACATTCAAAAATAATCTGGTACAGTCAGGACAGATATCATTTTGGTCTGTTTCTCTGGTATGACAATTAGTTCATATAAACAAAGATGGCAACAGGAAATGATGCCACCTGTCTCACTTTGGGTGACAGTCGAGTACAGCGCCGCCAGTCATCAGCTATGATTTACAAAAAAAGCAAAAGAAAAGCTGAATGTGATGATGAGATAGATATATATATATATATATATATATATATATAGGCTCCATAAAATTAAAGATAACTATAAAGACAAATAAAAATCAGCTTTTCCTCCTTTGTCATAGATGATGTCATTTCTTGTCATATAAAGGCTCAGTTATGGGACTTAAAGTGGTCACGTCTACATTTTCTCAACACTTTCCAGTCTCCTCGTTTCAGGAGTCTCTAACCTCCTTTTTCCATTGTTCTGTTCCCCAACACCTTTCTGTTTACAGGTGAGTGGCCAATCAGCAGCTACGTGCAGCTCTCCGTCACCATGGATGCATGTGCCCGTATCAGAGGAATCACACTAAGGTCCCGGGCCTCGGCCCGGAAAGAGGTTTGTGTGCCAGGACACTCCATCTTATTCTGCAACAGCCTGCAACTCTCTGGATCTTTGACATGACACTTCATGCCCCATTGTCCAGTGATTACATCTGGCATAGGATTTTTAGACAGCTGATATTAAAAATCATCTCTGCTGGACAAACTGAACTCAGATTTAGTTTGCTCCTCACACACACTGATGTATTTTACTTCCTCTTGCAGTATTGTTGTTATTTTGTTTGTTTTCTAAGTGCGACAGTACTGTACAATACTGTACTTTAACTCTTGGTGCTTGTGGTCTGTAGTTGTAGATGTTGGCTATAGTTTGTAATGTGGTGAGATGTGCTTTAGCCCAGTAGGAGCTTAATTGTCTTTGAATATAATCTAATTACCCAGGACATATACACGCAGATACCTCATCTGTTGTGCATGCTACAAATGCATACATGTTGGCTTCTTAGTAGGTCGGCTGAGTAGCCGTGTACTGAGTCTGTAAACACTGTGTGTGTTTGCAGACTGTGCATGACAGTGGGGCGCAGTGTGTGAAGAGCCTCTTGAGGAATAAAAAGGAGCTGTGCAGCTTTGGCCTGGACCTGCCGGCCAGAGACACCACAAGACTGACAGAGGTTTGTCACATACCAACAACGGTGCCACTTGTGTTCAACCAATAAGACACATTAATACTCACCATCAGCTGTGCTCTTTCAGATTCATTTTGTGTGTTTGCCTGGCCAGTGTGAAGGAGAGGATGTCACCCACCAGGCAAGTAAAACATCGAAAGCATGTCCTTGTTATAGATCTGGTCTTAATATGGTAAACATGGACACTAGGTCATATTTTTTCAGATTAGTCATTTGACCTCTACGCTAATTTGCCTCTGTGTTGTCTCCTTACACCCCAGGACCTGTCACCTTTGCCGGGCGGGCTGTGCGAGCTCCTCAGGTCCCTCCACGTTCATAGCCTCAAGAATGACGAGGTCCTGCTGCTCAAAGTGTCACGCAGGCTGGCAGAGCACAAGTACACTAGGCCTCAGGTAGGTGACAGAGCTTTCATGTCAAAGGAATGTGCCCGGTCAGCTGGTCGAAGGCCAGGGAAGTAAGAATGGGCAACTGCACTACTCCAGCTTTTCTCTGCCTGTAGATATAACTATCCACACAAGTAGTTGGTTTCTTTAAAAGAGCACCACTGATTTTAATGATATTTAAATGACCTTTATGAAAAGCAAAAGATATTTTTTTTAAACTAGGGTAACTGCACTAGTGTCCATAAACTTGCACAGACGTGGACTTTGGTTCTTTCTTTTTCAGAAAATATGATATTTAACACTTGGTAGTACCACTAAATTATATTTATGTGTGACATTTGTGTTCTCATGGTTGTTGATTAAATTATTTTCCCACTTCATGGCCTTGTCTGCCTCTGCATGTAAACAGATGAGCCAGGTGTTTATCATGCTTCTGAGGACACGCAGGTGGGAGAGACACACAGCAAATGTTGTTTTTTAAGTTCACGATTGCAACCTTGTTCTTGCTGGTCCTGTGCACCATGTGTGAGTTTACACAGGCCCTGAAGCGCACTCTGGTTTCGTCATCCATGTCAGACAGTTAGACCTCCCACCCACTGGCATTACAGAGGAGACTTGCATGATTTGGTATTCTGCACATGCAACAGATCAACTTCCTGTCAGAGTTCAGACATAACAATACACTCCCAACTCTCTTCTCCCCATCTGTAAGGTTACAACACAGAAATGTTTTGTTCTATTTAATTTCACAAAAGCCAGTATTTTTTTACATCACCAGCTTGTTGTCTTCCAAGTGACTGTGAGACCAGGTTTTTCATTCCTGTCTCTTCCTTTGTTTTTCTGTTCCTCTCGCTGTTTCTCTCTTTGCCTCCAGTGCTGCTTAAAGGCTGTCTGTGTGCTGAGGCAGACTCCCAGCACGAGCGTCTGCCCTCAGGCCAGTGTAACGTCCCCAGTGGGCTTGCTGGGCTGCTACATGGCAGGTTTGCGCTATGCTTTGGAGCTCCAGGCTCTTCAGAGGGGAACTACTGAGCCCAGCCAGCCAGAGGAAGATGACACCAACCAGTCGGTCTCATCAATCGAGGATGACTTTGTCACGGCCCTGGAGCATCTGGAGGAGGATGATACAGCAGACAGTCCATGTAGGTTCAACAACTAATGTTTCTCTCTCATGTAGAATATCTTATGATCATATACATCTGAAAATTCCAAAATGGAGACCTGAATCTTAAAACCTCTCCTGTTTTATAGCATCATAATCTGTGCATAATAAATTCTTCAAAAAACTGGCAGAAATGTAACTGTCAATGCACTGCACTGTTTCCTCTACCTTTTATATAATGAAGGCACCAGGGATGTACATAATTTGTTGTCACTCTTCTTTCTTTTGTGGATAACATTTGTCACATGTATCTTCTGTCTGTTCTTTGTGTGTATTGTTTGTAATGAGTTTTCTCTCCTCCATGTCCATCTTCACAGCTGCAGCTTCCTATCCCCATTTTAAAAAGCGAGATGTGGCATCGCAGACAATCCCAGCCCACAAGAGAAGAAGGGAATTATCAGGCTCTCGTGTTATTGTAAGCTCATCTTCGAAGAAGTATTCAGCCAAGCATAGGTCCGGCCCTGATGTATCTGTCACAGTGCAGACCTCATCAGGCATGGAGTCCCAGTGGACCTACTGCACTCCTGGAGCTCATCTCCCCTCACCTTTGATTCATGTCAGTGAATCAGAAGAGTCGGACTGCTCCAGCCCCAGCCCAATCATTTTCCTGGATGAGGTGGGCTACCAAAAGAGCCTGCTGGCTAAGTTGGACATCCCCCAGGTGCCAGGGGGGCCCAGAGAGCAAGTAGAAGACTCTGACTCTGAAGTCAGTGAATTCTTTGACAGTTTTGACCAGTTTGATGAGCTGGAGGAGCTCAGCTCAGAGAGCTGCACCCTCCCACTGCCTCTGGACACCATCAGTACCCCAGGCACACAGAAGAGGTCCACTGAGTCCAGCGCTAGTGGGTCAGCATCCAAATATGTTTCTATGGGTTGCTCAACCCAGGGTATGAATCCTCACCGCTTTGAGCAGCCCACTCTCCCAGCCAGTGTGAAAAAGCCCACTCCTCTGAAACCAGGCTCTCCCTACTCAATTCACTCCGAGGTGCCTGACTCCCCGCGGCCAGTGCAGACCCCCTCTGATGAGAATGGTGGCCCACTCTTCAGTCCTGTCAGCTCCTCGGCCTTCAGCCCTCTGGTGGACTCTAACGGACCGCTGGAATACTTCTGGAAGACAGATGAGGATGGACAGGACAGCTCAGAGCTGCGTAAACCCCAGGATCTCTGCTCACTGTATAAGACCTACTCAGACTTTGCCAGCAGTCTGTCCAGAGAAATCCTGGGCTCTGTCTGTGGCTACCAGTCTGCTGTTGACATCAATGATAACAAGAATCTCAGCTGCGTCTGTCACAAGGAATTCAAGAACCCTTCAGGCTACCTGATGAAGCTGTCAGAAATACAAGAGACTGTAACAGTGGCCAAGTTGCAGAAGAAGTCCCAGTCCCTGAAGGATGGCATCCAGAGGTTTGCTTCTGACCTGGTGGAGATGAGCCTGGGCAGTGCCTTGCGAGACCTCCAAAAAGGTGTGTCCTCCTGTACCACCACCTTGTGTCACCTAGCTGCCAGGCTCACCTCCTCAGTGTTTCAGATGGCCTTCCAGGAGATTGGCATGCGCCATGCCTATGTGTTGAAGGAACGAGCCATCAACGGATTAGCCGGCTTCCTGGTGGGAGAGGCTGTGTCTGGGGCGCTGAAGGAGTTCCTGGCAGTGAAAAAGCAGATATTCCACAGCACAGTGACACGCTTCGCTGCAGATCTGGCTGAAGAGCTTGTGTTCGAAGGGATTATGGAAGTGTGTCAGTTCTCCCACCCCTCAACCCCTCTCACCCCTAGTGATTGGTCCTTTGGCCATGGGCAGGAGGAAGAGGAGGAGGTGGTTTCCTCCTATGCTTCAGACTTGTCTGAGTCTGTTATCCAGGAGGCCTTCATAGAGCTCTCTCAGGCTGATGTTGCCTTCACTAGCCAAGCAGCGATTAGTGTGTCTCTGGACAACATCTGTTACGTCAGTGCAGAGAACACTAGCACACACACCTGCAGTACCTTTGCTAACCAGCAGGTTTTAAGTACCAGCTCAGCTGCAGCTGTCCCGGTGCCCTCAGGAGAGGATGCTGCCTGCACAGTGAAGAAAGCTCTGTTCACTGTATCAGGCATGGCCAGCTGTATTCCCGTGCCCCAAGCAGGCCAATCCCTCTGCCACCTTCAGGATTCAGAGGAGATCTGCCTATATAAGTCTAGTGTGTCAGACACCCCACAGCCCAGCCCTCAAAAAGTAACTGTGTCTTCCTCTGACACTAGCACATCAACACACACTTACCTTTACAGTCATGGAACTCAGACCCCTCTATCTCAAGAAGACCGCTCCCAAGGAGCATCACCATTCCAAAACCTCTCTGGCAACATGGTGGATATGATAGTACCTGAAGCTTGTAAGCTAGTCACTGCCTCTAAGATGAAGAAGAGTTTTGGTGACTGTGCTGACTTTTGTACAAAGTCAATCAGAAGCCGAAGGGGCTCCAATCAAGAGACGGTAAATTATGAGGCTT